TTCCCGTAATGTATTTTGTCTATACTATTATCAAGTTTCACTATAGTGGCTCATATCTCTCTCTCTTCCCTGCCTTTCTGCAGACATGGGCTAAAACTAGGGTTAGACCTGTATTCGAAGTACTGTTGATACCTTCACTAATCACGAAACTTGCATTTTGTGGATTTTGGCTGCTTGCCTTTTTTCGACTGTTTGTCTGTTTATCAGAGCAGTTAAGGTTTACCTATATGTATTTTAAGGAGTAAACAAAGCATTGTGGAAAAGCTGTCAGAAAGACGACTATTGCAACTGCAGTGTAACGTTGCCTTGGGGAGGGGGCTGGGGGTGTCAGTTTGTCATTCCAGAGGTGCAGCCCGGGGTGATGGAGGTTCCCTGAACAAGAAGCGGCCGTTAGGAAAGCTGTATCAAAACACAGTATAGGGTTTGCAAAAACCCTAAGCTGCCTACACATAGAGTGTAACGGTGAATGTGTCTTACGCAGCGCTGCTGGGAAAGTAGCGTTGTATGGAGCAAAGCCCCCCTCTCCTAATGTAGTAATTTGTCATATTAAGTCATTTAATAATAATTGAATCCCCTTGATTAATCTCCTAGAATTAGCCAGTTGGATTTTGAGCAATTAAGGTTAATTACTGCCTCATTTGGCAGGATAGAGCCCCTGTAATTATTTCATGAACAAGATTAGGAAGTGTTCCTGTGCAGCAGATACATTCATGGCATCTTGGAGCACATGTTAGAATTTGTAATGACATAGTTAAGCGTAATTAGTAGCTAATAATCTATGTTCTGCTGTTGTGCTGATGCTGAGTGGGCTCATTTTGCTGTGCGGTCATTGTTCAGTGAAACCTCCCCTCAACTCTGTTAGTATCCAAGTTGTGCTAATGGAGGTCTCTGAGCATCTTAACTGTTCTGAGCATGATCTAGTTTGGAATTAGGATTGCAGAAAGACTTCCTTTTGGTTTTGCTGTTAAAATTAAAAAAAAAGAAAAGCTGAATAACAAAAATATACAGTCTAGCAGAGGCTAGAAAAAAAGGCTTCCCCTCAGCAAACCCAGTTTAGAAATTAACAGAAATTGTACTGTTTAGAGGGCAGGCCACCTTACACTGGTGGCACGATATGATTGCTTATTAAAGATTTCTGATTTTCCATTTTGCAGGTATATAATTATATATCATTTTCAATTTTCTGTTACCTATTACCTGGAAGAATCCAGAATTACATCATTTCTTTCTTCTGAAGATACAAGTAATGCAGAGATGCTATATAATAGCTTGTGGAAGAAACAGAGGTTTGGGAAGGAAAAATTGACCAGACTTGTCTTACAAGAAATGTCATGCATGGCAGGGATAAAAGCTTAAGCACAAAAACCAGAACTTGAGCTTTTAGAGTCTCAAATGAGAAGGTTTTTGTATGGAGTGGCCCTCTCTCCCTTCCAGCCCCTTCATTCACAACTACTGTGTCACCCCCAGAAAGACCAGAGCAACACTGGGCTCCTCTAGTAGAAACTTGCTATAATTACGCTGCTTCCTAAAGCTTTTTTTTTTTTTTTTTTCATTCTGACAGAGGTGTTATTTCTGTTTTATAACTAGTTAGCGTAGAGCTATGGGTAAGTGTATCAGACTTTTCTTTCTGTCTTTAACTACTGTAGCTTAGTAATAAGATGATACTTTTGAGTAATGCTTCATATTTAGAAGTTTTCTAATTAGAGTAAGTGAATATATAAATATAAAAAAGGCCCAGTAAAGTCACAGTTCAGCTGCTGGCCCCTTACCTGCCCAGCGTTACCCTGATGAAGTTCGTCAGCAAGAGACAGCACGCTTTCTAGTAACATTCCAGAGTGAGTCTGTCAATTCTTTAAGTCTCTAGGTTACTGGTGTTTATAGCAGTAAGCAGTAAAAGTTATTTAGGAGTAAATCAGTGATATAAACATACAGAGCTATAATTTTTTACTTAGTTTTCGTACTATATAAATGTAATAACTCACTTTTAAACAACCCTTTTATATACTCACACGGCTTAGCAGCAGAGCTGTTCGTTGTAGTTTCATTTTGGTCTGCGAATGGAAGGTAGATTTAACTCGTCATCTAGCAGCAAAGACACCTCAATTTATCATTTTATGAAATGCTTACATTATTTCTATGTTAATATTAATTTATTTGTGAATATCACCTTGGTCTGTGATTTTCAAGCTGGTATTTCTTTCCTTGTCGTAAGCTAGTACAAATACTTGCCGATAGGGATGTTAAAACTTTGAAATTCAAGCCAAGTTCTTCAGCAAACTTTAAATTCTAGGTAACAGGTCAGGTTAAGGATATTTTATGATGACTGTGTAGTCTAGTTTTGAAGCTGCAAATTGAAAAACCTGATGTATTCTTCAATAGTTACTTGACTACCTGTTTGAAGGATAATCCATATTTTAAAAGTTTCCTCATCTTGTGAGCTTAGAAGTTCTTTTTTTTTTAATCAATCTGTTCTAATGTGTTCTCATAAATTCACACTGGAATTTCAACCTCAAAGTATGCAAAATTCTTTTCAGGTAGGCATTATTGAATGGAGATGGGTGTATAATTTGGGGCATCATAAAGTGGTTTGAAACACTGATGTTGATAGTAAATCATTGCTTATAATGTACACGTGTTCAACTGGAGGGACTGAAGCTTCCCCATCTACTACCGCAGATGTCTTTTAAAGGTGAAATTAGTTTACGGTAAATGTCATTCAGATGAAGTATGCACTTTAGAAGCAAGGAAACCATTGCTTTAAAGTTAATGATGCGTTGCACATATCAGAAAAAAACCTTATATCCAGCATAAAGATAATTAAAATTCAGGTCAGAAGTGTATGACTTAGTCGAGCTAAATTTTTTAATGAGATTTCAGAAAATTAATTGGGCAAGTATGTTTTTACTCTTCTGAAGAATATTTCATTTCATGGCTCTACAGGAAAGATGCTTTTATTGGCATCTAAAGATTGTAGTGTCTGACTTTTTAACTGTTGCTTAACCAATCTTTAACAATGTTTAGGTTGATTACAAATAATCCAGACCTCTCGTGGCCTTGTAGCCATTTGTGCAGAATGATGACTCGTGCTGCTTTTCCACGTGCCAATCAGACAGCAGTAAAACAACTGACTTTAATTAACATTAGCACTCTGGGTTTATATATTGTGCAATTAGCAGAGAACAGTCCCCTGTTTTCAGCTCATTCAGGCTTGGGTTTTTTCTGTGCCTCTGGGAGAAGCAGTCATACAGGCATTGCTCTGCAGCGTGTTAGTATTTTACTGATATTTTTGTCTGCAGTCTCTCAGTACTCTCCTTTGCCTGAAACGTCGCCTTAGAGGCTGCAGGAAAGGCTGCTTGGATGGTTTTCCCAGGACTGGTCAGGTTTTCCCCAGCTCTTAAATAATTAAAGTGGTAAGTTTATTGGCCAAACGTTAATTGTTCTGGAGATTGAAAGCCTTTCTACAGAACAGAATGTTCTCATCCTTCCTTATCCCAAAATACAAATTCTGAGCTGTACAGCTACTCAATTCAAAAATACAAAAGTTCTGCTCAGGTTCTGTAGCTGTCCTGCCTGCACGTGGTTATAGCAGTGTGTGAAGGATTTGGGGGAAATGGTATCAGCTCTCCAGTTGTAAATGTTGGCACGTTTGTGCTCTTGCACGCTCAGAGTCGCCTCTGGTGGCTCTGGAGCAGACGTCCCTGAACATGTGGAAGCGTAAGTAGAAGCTGCATCCTATCACCAGGAGCAAATATATAGCAAGGAACTTTTCTAATACTGTCATCTTCCCTATTTGCCTGGGTTGCTTTATCATCTGGTATATAGAGACTCCTGTTAATCTTTATTAAAGTTTCTTCTCCTTGCAGCATATCTGTTCAGGTGTGTACAAGGCAATATAGCTGAAGTTTTTATTTCATTGGGTTTTTTTAGTACTATAAAACCTTACTAATTCCGTTTTGCAGAAAATCTCATAACACCTCAAAATTTGAGGCTGAACGTTCTGGCAAACTTCTCCATTCAGTATTGGGACGAGGGCTGTCGTTGCATCCTTTTGCCAGCTTTGAAATTTTTGCTCTCGCACCAGTGATTACATCTAAAAGAGAACATGTATGCCAGAGATGTTGTCCAGAATAGCTTGTTCTTGGAATAATCTCTGCATTTCTTCTTAAAAATGAATAGCCTCTTTATTTGCATGAGGAATTAATTGACTTTAATCTTTGGGGCTTTTTTTAATGGAGTAGTAGAAGAATGAGACTTCATTGTGTGGATAAAGAGAACAGCCTTTGTCTCAAAGCTAGTTCTTCCCAGGCTGTCCCCTTCCTACAGCTGCCCTGGGAACAGCAGTGTGCAAGCAGCCCAGTTTTCATAGTCTCTTTACAGGTCCAGTGGTTGGGGTGGGGGAGTTTAATTTTTTTTCTCCCTTCTTTCTTTCTTTCTTTTTTTTTTTGGTGGGGGTTTTATTATGTTGTTGCCCTCTTTTTTTTTTTTTTTTTTTTTTTTTTTTTTTTTTTTTTTAAATTTAAGCTCCATCATTGACCTCGAAACCTGTTCTGCAGAGACAGTGGCTTGGTTTTCCTGTATTCATGCAGACCGGAACCCTTCACTGAGCCTGAATCTGTCCTGAAATTGAGAAAATCTGTTTTTGATGAACAGGTTTGAAGATGATGGTGGTGTCTAATTCTACACACGATTTATATCTGTATGTGAAAACTGAGATTTGCAGAAATAAAGATCGTGGTCTACTTGAATGAATAGATATTGGTTCTTTGACAGCTTTATGAAAAATTGTGGTGGTTAAACGTGGAAGGACTTGAAAAAAATGGAGTGCCCCTTGTCAAAAGTCATGAAATAAGTGAAATGTATGTAAGGCCAGGCTGTAGGGATGCTATTCGGAGGAGGTAGGTGTTTCTTAGGTATTCTAAATGTGTCCTTGTATCAGAATTTAGAAGAGTTACCTGCTTATGTTTGAGTACCGTAAAGCATAAGAGAAGGTTAATTTTAAACAGACGTGTGGGAAAATGGACTGCCCTAATCAATGGGGAGCTCCTGGTGCGGTTTGGTCTAACCCGAGCGTGCTCTCTGATTTATACTGTAATCAAACATCTTCTAGCCTGTATGAAAGCTCCATTACTTTAATTAGGTCTGATAGGTTGTGATAGCAAATGCAAATCTAGGTCATTGCATATGTAAATGTGCAGCTGTAGTCCTGGAGGATGCCAGAACATATCAGCTAAGGTGTCCAGTCATCACCCAGCATTAACTCCAGCACGGCAAGCAGACTTTATGTGCTAACCATGTGAAAGTGGTTAGGACACACACAGACACCCTGTCGCTTGCCTAACATTTATTTATATTTTCAAGTTAAGAAGTTGCTAGATGTTTCTTGGCACATGCTTAAAATATTAATTTACACTTAAACACTCTTGGTTTAAACACGCAATTTAATGATTTATGAAGGGCAAATGGATACCATCCTTGATTGCAGCATGGATTTCTTCCTTAAAAAGAAAGTTTTGTGGTAGTTGCTTCATAAAATCTTGTTACAACTGCTACCTCTATTGTGAATGTTAACTCCAAGTTAGAAAAGCTTTTGCTCAAACTTTCTTACTATGCAAGAAGAGTGTGGCTCAGGAGGCACACGTTCACAATTAAGGAAATGCTTTGATTCCTTTCTATTTCTCAATTAGGAAAAAGTGGTTTGTAATTTTATATACTGACACCTTTGGTTTGGCTGGGTAAAGCCATCTGACTGGACAGCTCCATTAATTTGCTTATTAGCTTATATGTAAAAAGGTGAGGGAATGGAGATGTTCCTGGTTAGTTACCAGTCAAGTTGAACAAATGCCTGTGTTCAGACATTCTTCTGGTGATTTGGGCACACGAAAAATGCACGTAGACTAACGTTTCGTTAGCGCTCCCTGGAATGAGGTGAGTATTCCTGTATTGCTGTAATGTATATTGATAAGTATTACTGTTTATCAAATCCCTGCAAAGAGAGATTGCAACCAATTTAAGCTGAGAAAGCTGCAGGGGTTGTTTACTTTGAATATTTGCTTGCCTGGTTTCATCCCATGTTGCCTTAGTTTGTTGATAATTTAATAACTTAAAGGGGGATGTATGTAAATAATAAAGCAGTGTTATCTTAACATTCTGCTGTCTATCTGATGACCCATAGGCTGCCTTTTTCCTCATCAGTGAAAGATACTCCCATTTTATTGTATGGTATACACTGCAAAACTTAGAGAAATGAATCCTGAATCTTCATTTTAATTTTTGTTTTGCTGTGTTATACTGCATTTACAAGCTGTAACTTCAAGCCCAGCGCAAGTACTGAGAGTAACCTTCCTTCGCTGGCTGCCGCCAACCCGGATTGCAGCCCGGTGGGGGAGACTGAAGTGGTCTTAAAAGGGAAACCCTCCCTGAACGGTTTAAAGGAAATACTTGATGAAATTAGCTTCCTATTTCTGTGTGACTTGCCCTCATGAATAACTGCAAATTCTAGTGCAGCCTTCTTATTTGTGTAGGTTATTGTTCATGAATTAACATTTTTATTGTGTCATCTTTAGCCTAGAGAAATGAAAACCATTTCCCATGGTATGACAATATTTAAATGCTCATGGTGATAGATGGAGACACTTACCTGTGGCCTTGGCATTTCAAAAATAATTACTCGAAGTGTCGTTTCATCTGAAAAAGAGTGGGTTTGCTCTTTTAGGGAACCTAAACTGGGAAAGCTAATGATCATGATGGCCTGGAGTTAAATTTCCAGTTATGTGCCTACTTGAATTAGGAGGGATTGGCTGGACGTTATGGTATTGCATTTTCGTCTTCTCTGGAGTTCATAACTGTCGAGGCTTTTCAGTTTAGCAACAATCTTCTCTTTCCATAACTGCAGGGCTTTACCTTCGCGAAGTTCTCGACGGCTGGCACAGGGCAGCGGTGCAGAGGTGCAGGGCACGCGCCAGCAGCACACAGCCTTTCGCTGCCGGGAAGACGACAGCAAAAAGACCTGATGGTCTTTTCACTGTCGGGTTTGCGATTTATATCTGCGTCTCTCTATTATCAGCATTTATAAAATGCAATCATTTTTCTTGAGTATGCCTGCAGTAGAGTAGCTTTTGTCGTGGGGATTTCTCTTGCGTTTGTTGTGATAAGGATGCTGTAAAGGTGACAGTTTTCAAAATAGCTTATCTTGGTTGATTGATGCAGTTTGTAGGTCAGAAATTACTATTTAGGGGACTTTATTGGTGAGTTTTCTTAAAAACATTGACTTTTACAACTTTGTTTACAAAACATCTGCCAAATAATTGTGATTACTTCAGAGTTGCACAGACACCTTGAAATCTGGAAGCTTTTTCAAATGTCTGATTGATACTTTTTATTGTTTGTTGAATAGTAGTCATTTTTATTTCTGTTGCAAAGAAGTCCAAACTTATTTACTCATCAAAATAAATACACCCTGTAAGAGATTCTCACCCTGTCTTGTATGTAGTGCTGGCAAAAGATGCTGGACTGAAAGCTTTCCCTGCATTTTAAATTTTACTTCCAGCCCCATGGCTCTGTGTTAGGAAAGGACAGTGGCAGCAATAGTCGTCTCCTTACAGCACCCAGCCCTCCTGGCCTGCTCTCCCTGGGCGCTGGTGCTGGCGTTGTCCGCTAAAGATGCAGCTGTGAGCGATGGCTGCCTCCCTGGGAACCCCCCTTTTTGTTGTGAACTTCTCTTTTTGTGGTTTTCACTGGGAACTCTGGAATGGCTCGAGATGCTGAAGCTTAAAAATATTCTACTTGGCATGCATGGCAACTTTAAGTAATTAATTTTCCTAATCTCTTTTTTAAACATTGGTTAGCAGTCATGTCGATTACAGAAGAGACCCGAACGGCTCTAGGGAGCGATTCCTAGTCCAGGGAGTACGCAATCCTCGTTCCGCTGTGCCGCCTGCCTGGCTGGGCCGTTACCTGGGACTGCGCGGAAGCAAGCCTCGGCGCCTCCCAGGTGGCCCGTGCAGGCGGAGCTGATGAGAGGGTGTGCAACTAGGGAGGCAGTAGTTTGGGACTAATTAGTTACTTACACGGAAGGCAAGACTCTATTTCCTTTTTAAAAAAGTCATATAACTTAATTCAGCCTATGTTACTAATACCTTTACTAGGAATTAATGCATTTATGGTCAGAATTATCTACAGACTGGTCAGCCTCGATTAAGTTCTTGGCCATCAGAAATGAGAGCAAGAGGGTATGCACATTTGGCCATGTTAACTCTGTTCCATACGTTTTTGGTAGCTGTTACTAGTTTTATGCTTTGGTTTGGTTAATATTTTTATGGAAGTCTCTGCCGTTACATGTGCGGGTGCCTGCGGCTGTATGCTGCGCTTTTCTGTTGCGACTGCTCTGGCCCAGTGTTGTCTGAAGTGGACAAAGCAAAGTGAAGGTGGGCAGAGGAAAGCCAGACCACTCCGTTGTCCGTCGTACACCAGATCGACACCAAATTTCTTTGTCTTTCTTGCTGGGCCATCCTTACTGTGAGAATTTATCCTCCTGAATATGATTAGTCATAGAAACCACTAGCTTGTGGTCATAAAGAAGACAGATCGGGAATGCAAGTTCATGTTTTTGCATCACTTTTTCCAGTTCATTGATTTAATTTCTTTTGACCCGAACAGAGACATTTAACATCGTACCCATATCGCTGCACACTGGCAGATTTTCAGATAGAGAAAAAGATTGGACGAGGACAATTCAGTGAAGTTTACAAAGCAACTTGTCTTCTGGACAGAAAACCTGTGGCATTAAAGAAAGTTCAGGTGAGCATTGAAGTTCAAAGTCTTACTATTTAGCCAGCAGAATGGAAATGTTTCAAGTGTCTACGCAGATTACTTTGAGTCAGATACGTCTTTCAGTATTCTTTTGTTAGCAGTAATGCAATAAAATGCTTTGTAAATTGAGAGTTTAAGGTTTGAGAGCACTGGATGATCTGGTTTGATATTTTTACATTAAAAAAACTCAATACTCTGCCTTCTTATTTTATTCAGTTGGGTTTTAGAGGTGTGGGTGGGGGGTTTTGGGTTTTTTTGTTTTGTTTTGTTTGGTTTTTTTTTTTTTACTTTATTATTTCAAGCAAAGGAATAAAGAATAATGCTTCTGAAGGTCTCAAAGGAGTTTTGCAGGTATTAAGTCAGGTTAGTTTCCTGGTGCTCAGTTTGCATCTGGATATGAGAGGCCAAGCGGCCCCACTGCGCTCCTGCCTGCCCCTTGGTCGGATCCTCTGTGGGCGTCTTCTCCGTGTAGTCTGTCTGTCCTATATGGGACCCTGTTTCCATTTTGAGCAGTCTGTTTGCACTGCATGGTCTTAAACCCACTCCAAGATGACAAGGGATATTTCTAAATTATGTAGCAGTAGTGCAATTTTATATTTATTCTTAATTTCAGTTTTTACTTTATAAAAAGGCTTCACTAAATTATTATTAAACGTGTGTGAAAGAACAAGGCCCTAATGGCCATAGTCATACAGCTGGGAGACTGCCATCTCAACGCAGATGAATCATGAGAACACAAGGGCATGGAAGGCAGAAACGTCTGCGCTTGCTGATGGAGTTTTAGAAGAATTTATGAAAAACTTTCATGCAAGCAGTATAGATTTGCAACCTGGCTTCAAGTGTCGTGCAGTGTTCAGAACAGCACTTTGCTGGAAGACGTTTGCCTTTAATCCTTCAACAGATTCTTTAAACTCTTGTTTCTGGTGACTTACTCTCTGATTATTACAGAATAAATAGTAATGTTCAATATTATTGTTAATTGTTATAGAGAAACCAGTGGAAGCTATATCTCTGTTTAAAAGAAAAAAATAAACATTTTACCTTTTGTTTACCATGTGAAATTAATTGTAACTAAATTAACTTTTGAAAATCATGGTGGCAGATTCACAAACTACTATCTGTATTTTTCATGCTGCTTAGAATGTTGTCTACAGGTTCTAAAATTAATTTTACCCTATTGCTAACCCTTTAGTGGTTTCAAAATAAAGAAAACATTGATCTTTCTTTGATCTGGGGATTGTGTGTATACTCATTACAGTAGGGGATGTACAGATTGGGAGAGGAAAGACCAATTTCTTCTTAAAATATAAAATTCTTTTTTGTTGTTGCTTCATTTTCATCTTCTATGTTTTTGTCTTTGAAGATTTTTGAAATGATGGATGCCAAGGCTAGGCAAGATTGCATTAAAGAAATTGACCTCTTGAAGGTAAGAACTCTTACAGTCACTTTTTCTGGTTCTTGTTTTGAGAAAAAAAATCATTTTTAGGTTGGCAACAGTTACTTACCTTCTATGGCAAATAAAGCTTATATAGCACACGCAGTGATCTTAATAGACCGTGCTTTCTTTTGCAAGCTAGAATGCCCACCTGATGCAAGAGTTCTGTCTTAAAGCTTAATTTTGTTGAGTTTTGTTGTTGTATAGGTAGAAGCCCATAGTCTAAGGAATCTATTAAAAATCTGTCATAAAAACCCACAAGTACTCCTCTTTCAGAGAGGCATGTAAATTCTGCCCTTTATGTGTCTTGATTTATTTGTCACTTCAAAATAGACTAATTAATGAACTAGCTAAATGGGAAAACAGTTTTGCATGTGTGTGTAGGGTATGCATATATATATATATACACATATCACACACAAAAAATGGTAGTTTAGATAAAGGCTCTGAAAATAGAGAGTGTTTTTTAAGTGGTTAAACCAACTAGTGATTTTTTTTCCATCTCAGTAATTATTTCAAAATGTTGGTAGAGAATATATATGCGTTGCACTTTAAATACCTATTTTGAGTAAATGCAACAGATTGTAGAAGGCTAAAATTTTAGTTTAGCTAGTCAAATTTAATTTTAAAGTATTAAATAATTCATTTTGTAGAAGTGATTTTAGGTATTTCTATTTAAATTGTTGATTTACATTCATGCAGTTGTAGACAAAGCTTGAGTCTGCTAGACTGTAGCGAAGGCATACAGGATAAACATGAAGATAGCAGCTTATGTGAACGTGATCCAGTTGCTTAACAGTCATGGAGAAAAATAACGCCAACGTTGGCATTCAAAAAGAGAATTTGTGAATTGGGGGGGGGCGGTTTCTAGATAATCTAAGCAGTTTTGTCTTGAACTCTGGCTATGGAAGGTGTCATAAACTTGCACGGGATTTATTCAGAGCAGAATGTGCAAATTGATTAGAATCAGAGGAAGATGGAAATAAAATACAATGACGAGAGACTCGAAGGTCAGCTCCCATCCGCCTCCTTGGGATGACGGAGCATTGTACCTTCTTGTGCAAAGCTCACCGAGAAGCTGGGTATCAAACTGTGGCTCCTGTAGTGGTAGAGTTGTGAAAGTGAATATGATACATTCAGCTAAATAGGGTTGACAAAATTGGATTATTTTGCGTAATATTTTATAGAAGACTAGGAAACGTTCTCGTGAAGTCATTTAGTTGGGGGCGAAGGGAGGAGCAGGAATAGTTGCTGACAGTCTAATATGCTGTTTGTTATTCAAAACATTACTGTGCTGGTAGTTTAATTACTGTTTATTGTTGAATGTCAACGAATATTCCTGCTTGGACAGTTGTGTGGCACCATCGAAGGAATCTGAAGTCTGAGTATGTTAAACAGTCAGTTTGATGGATCCCATTGTATTACAGATGCAAAGGGGATAGATTTCTATCTTGCCTATAGTTCACTTTGTCAAGTGACTCCTAGTTTTCAAGTCAGAGCCATTTGTAAAATAAAATACCTTTCACTTCCTAAAATGATCAATAAAGGTAATTGTTCTTGTGTCTAGAAAGTGTAAAGTGTGTAAGGACCCAGCTCAGCACAGGATTTCAGAGTCTGTTTAAGTCTTGCTCAGTTTAACTTTTTTCATCCCTGTTGATGTGGAGTACGTCTGCCTCGCAGTTGTGTCTCGTGTCTGGCCATGTAATATGGAATATTCGTATTTTTAAAACTTTCTTGCTACTTTTAAACTGCTGTTTAATATGAAGTATTTGTAGACTATTACTAAAACAACTTGCTGTGAGAGCTTTTCTTTCTTTGTTGTTTTCATTTCTAATGTAGACCATTGAGGAATTTGCAAAAGAATTACACAGACTTGCTGTAGTCCATCCCTGACAAAATAATACTTTGTCGTTTTTGATCGAAGACTTCTGGGTGACCATGGAAACAAAGGGGTGATTTCTAAATGAATTACAATTATTCAAAATTTAACAGAAGCCAGACAAAATTGTATGTTATTTTCAGTGTAATTCTGGCCAAAAGGTTTAGGTAAAGCACTCGATAATATGGCTGTAATCAGCATTTGGGCTGCCAACACCCACGCTCGCTCATCTAGAGGTGGCTTACCCTTCCGCATGCCTCTTGCCGACAGCGCTGCGGTGCATACACATCAGGCATTACCTGCCGGCAAAGTTTCAGGATGCATTAAAGAAATATGAATTGTCATTAACCCAAGAGACAGTGTTTGTAATCTTTCGTGCATTTAAGGATTTGTGAGAATGAATATACTTTCCTTCTGACAAAAGACATTTCAGATGGTCTTTTCCATGCCACAGACAAATACAATAGTTATAAAAATAACCCCGGAGTCAGTATATTTATTTAAATAAAGTTTGACAAAAGGGAGAGTGGAGAATGGAAGTTTGGCTTATCCAGAGTGGTCTGCCTGACTGTTCTGGGAAAACAGAGTTCAAAGGTCAACGAAATAAATTGTAGGAAAACCATACACATCTGTATTCGCAGCGCAGCGAGGTCGCGGGCAGTCTGCTGCGTACGGCTGCTGCTGGAGCACTCGTCCCTCTGCTCGGCTGCAGCCGAGGGCGGTGTCCGCTTCTGCCGCTGGCATGGGAGTCCTTGGAAAAGAGGGATCGCAGGCGTTAGCGTGGTGGCGTGGGTGTTTCGCTTGCTTGCTTTTAATTTTGTACAACTTCATTGTACTAGAAGAAACATCCCTCTTTAGAGCTAAGGAGTTTCTTCAAATCAGTACAAACCATCAGTAAAAAGTGTGTACACTCTCACAAAAAATACATTTAAAATCTTTGTATCAGTTAAGCAGTGCTTGGGTCTGAGTAAATTGGGCTTTGTTCTAACTCTCCAGAGGCGTGCGGTCTTCATGCCTTGTTGCAGTTGTCTAGTTTGATGTTGTGTTTTATCGGCACGTGGTGCCAAGGCTTGGAAAAAGGCTCCTTTGACTGCTGGAACTTCCCGATGCCTAGGAGCAGGCTTAACCGGATCGGCAAGAGCAGCGTGCGGTGCCCGGGCGTCGGGGTGCTGTGATAGTGCGTGGGGGGAGAGGGGCACCCTGCTGTGCGTTCGGTGTCAGTGGCTATTCTGATTTTGGTGCTTTTTTGGCTGGAAGTTGATCCTTGATTGACGTACCTGAGAGCAGACATTTAAAAGAAATTTCACCAGAAATGGTGGCCTGTGGTATTTATTTATTTATTTAAGGCTTGGTCCCGGGGGAATGTTCTTCTCCTGATGCCTGCACATGGATCCCATTAATGCTAATGCGCGCTAGTGTTGAGGCATCGCAAAGGAGAATCTATCCCCTAATGTGCATGCAGAAAGGAGTGATTAGCATGATGGATCATAGCGGTGTTTCTTTTGGCTTTGTAACCCCTGGAATAGACAGGTTGAGTCACAGCTGTTTAGTAGATGAAATGCTCACTTTAGGAGTCTCGAAATTTACTGCGTTTCTAAGAGCACAAGAGAAAGACAATCTAATGCAAAATGAGCAAGAGAGACCGAATAGGGAGATCTAGATGCTGTATTATCTTCTAAGCAATTACAGTTTTCCACTTTTAAGAAATTCAGGCATAAAATATTAAAACAGAAAGTTTAATTTGTTGAGCCTGTTTCCTAATTCAGTCCTGTGAGTAAAGCGTAACAATCTGAGAAGATGCAAATTTTTAAGAAGCATAGAGGAGAAAAAGAAATTAAAATACCAGTTGTGAATATAGGAAAAAGCCATGCAGAAATGAAAAAAGTAATTAGTGAAGATGCAAGCATAAATAATCAGAAAAATAGGCTGACGTATGCAATTTGTGCGTTATTTTCCTCCATCAAAGTTTTAATTTAATTCTGTTCTTATTCTAAGGGGCAAAGAGATCTTGGGCAGTACTGTAATCAGCAGTTGGGGTTTTTGTTTATATTTAAGGGGGGATCAGTTATTGCTTAACAAAGTTTCTTTCAGGACATAGCCTTTTCTGTTGGAAACTCACAAAATATTTGAAGGCGGTTTCAGGATATTTTGAGCCGCATTGCTCTTTACTCAAGACAATTTTATTATGCTGTGCTTGCGATAAATGATCTTCCTTCCAGGATTTTTGGCTATAATAACCCAGAGCACAGTTTGTAGTTGCACCTATTACGAACTGTTCTGCATAATGATTACAGAAACGGTATGGGTATTGTACCTGGGAGTTATCGTTACTGCAGCGTTACACATTCTCTTTTTGCATTCCCTCTATCTGCAGCAACTGAACCACCCCAATATAATTAAGTATTTGGATTCTTTTATTGAAGACAATGAACTTAACATTGTCCTGGAACTGGCCGACGCTGGTGATCTCTCGCAGATGATTAAGGTAAGGACGTGTCAGTCCTAGAGGTGCTACAGACTTTCAGGATGAGGCAGGCACCAGAGGCACATCTGTGCTAGAAGCACTTTTATCCTCTTGCGACTTGACACACCCATGGTGCTTTCAGAGCCTGAACTGAAGTGTCTGGTGGCATTTTAAATACGCCAGGCTATGCTGCTGGCTGCTGGTCGCTGCTTCGGAAGGGAGCAAGCCTCTATCATTTGGTGGGACGTGCGTGCTATTTGCAAGGTTGATTTATCCAGTCCGTGATAGATGGGGACATTTAATTATTGTTAGATTCACTATTCACATAGCCTGTCTGCCACTCTGAAGACATTCAAGAAAGTGTATTGACTTTCTTTGCAATGGGGATTTGGGTTTGAGAAAATGTTTCAAGTACTTGTTCTTCTCTTATGTTGCTCTTAGGAATACTTGTATTGCTGCAAACCAGCTTTAGTTAAGCTGTTACCACCTGCTTTTATATTTTCTTTGACATGTTAATCTTTAGACGTACGTCCCTTGTGAGAACAGATGTGTTATATCATGTTTGTTAGCACTCTCAACCTTCTCTCCATGTTTTACCTGTTTTTTTGCCATCATTATTCTGTAATTATCATAAATGAATGTTTGGAAAGTTCTCCTCCTCGTTGTCACAGTTAAAATATCTTATTAACAGATTTGTTTTCTTCGCCAGCAGAGCTATGAGGCACTAGGCCAAAGGCTGTCAAACAAGTTACCCATTTAGTCCATAGTCAGTGGCTAAATTTACAGTATCCATGAAAATCTGCTCCCTCTCACAGCAGAGTCCCCCTGGGCAAGCGAGCTGGGAACAGGCACTTGGCAGAGCCGTTCCTGGGGAGAGCCCCAAAATTCCAGATACGGCCTTGCTCCGCCGCCGCTCGATAGCAGGAGCGACGGTCGGATCTGCCCCAAGCCCTGGGGACGAGCTGGCCGTGATAGAAGCCGAAGGCGGCCGCCTCCTGCTGCCGCGGGGGTCGGGGTCGCCGAGGGTTGTGGAGGCAGAGCTTGTCCTGCCTGGGGAGAGCTCGTGTATTTTTATCTTTCACCATTTTCTTGTGGCTTCTTGTATGTTTTACCCTTTTCCCAACAGATCCTGGGAAACTTGCCGTTTATCTCAGGCTTTTTGTAGTTGCGGTTAAAGATGGAAAAAAAGTGAGGATTGCGAGAGCGGGAGTTAGGGCTGTGATCATCATGGGGCGTGCGAGTGTTTTGCTTGACTTTCAAATCTTAGGTTATAAAAAGTTTTACCAACATAATTGTTAGATATCGTCATACAAAATATTTGCATTTTTTTGTCATTTACAGTTTTTAGTTTAAACTTTCC